ATTGTGCAGTCCAGTCTTGGCCATGACAAGCCATCCAGGCTGTGGAAGATGAATTTCAGAGCCCCATGAGCCGTGGACACAGTGCATCGGAAGTAGCCAGGATCCACTGGGACAAACGTCACCCTGGCAACCTTGGGAACGTTGGTATGAGGCATCTCCGCTCTGAGAGGAACCACAACCTGGGTAACTTGTGGGCCTTGACAGGGGCGGACACGGGTACATTCCTGCTGACACAGACTGGGGTGGCTCCCTCCATCCCTGAGGTGGCACAGCTGGGCCCCTAGAAAGTTCTGGGAAGGGAAAGCTGCTAAAGCCTCCTGTCACTGGGGAGCTCCAGCTCCTCAGCAGAAGAGGTGAAGGGAAGTTTGGAGGGGTGGGCAGTGGTCGTGCCCTGAAGCCACGTGGAGGGAGGATCCTGAAGCGCTCCAGTGCCCAAAGCAAAGGCACAAGCCCTGGGCTGGGAGGGTGGCTCAGCGTGGGGCGCCTGCCTGGCACAAATGGGCCCTGGGTTCCACCCCGGCCCCTCCCAAACTCAGAGCAAACCCAAAGCAGCGGCACCCCAAAATATCCCTGAGTACGCAGGGGAGCCAGGGCCCTTGGGGAGCATGCAAGATGGGGACCCAGGTTGGAGTCAGCGAAGGGGAGCCCTATGGCAGGATTTGGGGGTCATGCTCTGCTCTTTGCCTGCATGGAGCAGAGGTTCGCCTGGGCAGTGAGGGAGTGTGGGAGTGAGGCAGCCCCCATCGCTGTCCCTGGGGCCACCACACAGGGTTCCCCTGTGAGACAGGGACTCCTGCCCTGAGGCAGAGGCTGGACGGGTCCTTCCCACTTGAGGCAAGGCGCTCAGGCCTCCTGCCCTTCAGCCCACTTTTATGAAAAGGAGACCATGAAACTAGGGCACTTATTGCTGAGGTTCCTCTACTGTGGTGGTCAGTTGCCCTCCCCCTGGCCTCCTGAGGATGTCCTCTCAGAGAGGCAGAGCCAGAGGCCAGAGGATCCCAGGACAGGACCGTCCCCTGAGCCCCAAGATGCTGCTCCTGGCCCTGCTGCTGCTTCAGTTGGGGACGGGTGAGTGGGCTGAGGACCAGGGATCACAAGTGTGGGCTGGGACTGCAGCTGAGCCTCTGTGTCCCCCAGGGTCCCTGCAGAAGAATCAGTCTTACTGGCTGCAGATGCAGAAGGCGGTGACAGTGCAGGAGGGTCTGTGTGTGCTTGTGTCCTGCTCCTTTACCTACCCCGAGGCTGGCTGGAACCACTCCACACCTACCTATGGCTCCTGGTACAAGACACAGAAGAATTTCAAACCTGATGCAAAAGACAATGATCTCGTGGCCACAAACAACCCAGACAAGAAAGCAAAAGTGAAGAACAAACTTCATTTCCGGCTCCTCGGAGACCCCCAGGCTAACAACTGCTCCCTGAGCATCTCCGAGGTCCGGAAGGATGACAGTGGAACATACTATTTTCATCTAGAGCAAGGAGATGAGAATCACACTTACGAAAGTAACCTGCTCACCCTGACTGTCACAGGTGAGGACAAGTGCCCAGGAACCAACAGCACACGTGGGTAGGGAGGGTCGCCAGGGTCCAGGGGAGACCCTGGTCTTGAGGGGGCAGTGGAGCTGCCACTGGTGGTTCAGGATTGGGGTGTCTGTCTCAGAGGCACACACGCATCCCCTCTTGGATCTAGTCTGTCCCTCTCTCCTCCCCAGAGTTGACCCAAACCCCAGACATCCACATCCAGGGGCCCCTGCAGTCGGGCCACGTCAGCCACGTGACATGCTCCATGCCTGGGGCCTGTGACTGGCCCACGGCCCCCCGTATCACCTGGGCTGGGGCTGCTCTGAGAGCAGCGGGGTCAGGCCTGGAGACCTCCACCTCGGAGATCCTGCTCACGCCCCACCCCGAGGACCATGGCACCTACCTCTCCTGCCGAGTGACCTTCCCCAGGGCTGGTGTGTCTTCAAACAGAACCGTGCAGCTCAGCGTGTCCTGTGAGTGCTGTGCCAGGGCACTGGGCTGCTGTGTGGGGGCGGAGGGTGGGGAGGGTGCCGAGGTCTGAATGTCTGTGTCCCCCTGTGTTGGTGTGGGAAACCCTAACCACAAGGCAACGGGGCCGGGAGGGGGGACCTCTGGGAAGTGGCTGGGTCACAGCTGTGGAGAGTCAGAGCAGCTGGGACAGACTGAGAGAGGCTGCTGAGCCTGGGTCCTGAAGGCCACGGGCCTGCAGGGGACACAGGGAGGACACTGGCCACCTGGGTGCTGCTTCCTCTTTCATTTCCATGGCTCCTGGGGAGGAGCGCAGGCCAGCTGTGCATGTGGCCCTCATGGAGTCTCTCTGTCCAGATGCTCCTCAGAACCTGACCATCAGCATCTCTGGAGCAGGTGACCCAGGTAGGCGGGGTGTCCCTCTGGGGCTGGGCGGGGACAGGTGTCTGCCAGCAGGGAGCCGAGCCCCGCAGCAGCCACCCCAGGGAGGCTCCCTCTGGACGGACCCTCAGCTCTTCCTTTCACCACGTGCAGTTAGAAGGAGGCTCACAGCACAAACGCCCTGACGCTGCCCACCCGGGTAGGTGAGAACACGGCCCTGGAGGCCCCCAAAGGCCTCTTGTTCACCCCCGCCTCTGCCTCGAGGACCCCAGGCCACTGCTTGCCTCCTGCTGTCCCCGTATTTCCTCACAGTTTTACCCAATACACCTGAATCTCCCACAGGGTTTAGTTTGCCCTCTTTTCCTTCCGTGGTGTAAGTAACCAGGACGCACACACACGCGCCACTCGCCGACCTCGCCTCCTCCGTGCAGGTGAGAGTCCTGCAACACAGTGCCAACCGTCTTCGAGTGACATAGAGGTGGCCTTTGGTGCACTCACAATTGGTGCTGCCACCAGCCCCTCCAAGGCCAGAGCACGCTCTACTCGGTACAGAGAGCCCCGTGCCTGGCCCAAACTCCCGGTTGTCCCCTCCAGGCCTGGCAGCCCCTCGTCGTCCCTTATCACTATGCTTTGCCTCTTGGGGACACTACCACTAAAGGCCGTCACACAATGCACCCCTCTTATGTGTGGCTTGTCACATGGCCACAAGGTTTCCTGAACCTGGGGCGGGACTGCTCTCCTCCCCGTGGCTGGAGAACGTTCCCGTGTCTGGAAGGAGCACACTGGCTTTACCATGCTTCAGCTCAGCGTCTCCAGGGTGGTTCCACCTTTGTGCTGCTCTGAGGGTCCCTGTACAAGTGCCACTTGGCTGGGTGTCGCGGCAGGATCCTAAGTGCCTTGACTCTCTTGATGTGACACCACTCGTGTTCTCAAGGTCCACCCACGTAGCCTGTGGTGGTCATTACTGTGTGTCCTCACCTGTGGTCCCACAGTTCACTAGCCCAGTCCACCGTGGCTGCGCACGAGGGTTAGTTTCCTGATAATGCCTCTGGGAACATGTCCCCGTGAACCTGTACCCACCCTGCCTGGAGCTCCTATGAACTCTCCACAGCTGCCTCAGGAGGTCTGGGCAGGGCTGAGGTCTAACTTTGTAACTGGCTCCTGGGGATTTCCATGCAGAGACTCGATGCTTCAGAGACAGTCCTTGAGTATTCGGACCCTAGGTGTTATGTCTAGGAGCCAAATCAGGAAGGAAACTCAACACACCCCTCGGGAATGCTGCTGTAGAATAGCTCTGGAGCCCGGTGCACTGATCATGCCAATAACCCTAGCAGCTCAGAGGCTGAGACAGGAGGATTGCAAGTTTGAGGCTGCCTGGGGAACTTAGGGAGAATGTGTCTGAAAATAAAAAATAAAGGGGTTCATTCATGCCCATTACTAATAGCAAAAGAAAGAGCTCTGGAAGAACACCCCAGAAACCAGCACTCAATTCCCCTCTTACAAGAGGAACAGTTGCTGGGTGTCACTGTGGGAGGGAGTCTCAACAGCCCCTTCTCCTCAGGAGTTGTATATCAGCCTGGGGGGACAGAGAGGAGGAGGTGGAGATCAGCCCCCCAGAGCCTTGGAGGGCTGATAATTGGATTTGGATACTTCAATAGTAAACAGGCTCACGGGGGTGGTTAATGTGGACAAGGACCACAGACTCAGAGAAATCAAGGAACAACCCAGTTGTCAATCAACTGATGGATGGATGCAATAACGTGGTGGATTCAAATGGTGGGATATAATTCAGCATAAAGAAGAGCCACGCTCTGGCAGGCACTGTACATGATGACCCTGGAAACATGGCGCTGAGGGAGACACAGTCCACCACACACATGGGATTCTGTGGATATGTAACACCCTGCGAAGGCAAATCCAGAGACAGTGGGTTTGTGTATTTAGGCTGGGGATGGAAGGGCTGGGCTGGGCAAGGGCTGGGGTGGGGGTTTCCTCTTGGTGTGGTAGGAATGAGCTAACATTGTGGTGACCCAGATCTGAACACATAAGAGC